TCAAAATGTAAGGTAGCTGTGGGTAGATGAGATGGAGAGCAGCCCCGACCAGGAAGTGAACAAGAGGAAGTGAGGGGACAAGTGGGCTTTTCTTGGTGTCAGCACATGGGACACCCTGAGCCAACTGGACCTCTACTGCCCAACATGGTAGGGAAAAGGAGGTCAGAAAGTCATTGGCAGTTTATGCAGTCAGTTAAAAATACCATGGAGCTCATTACATACTCCCGTAAGGCCTATCAATGATTGACAGGTCTGAATTATAAACATCAAGCACATGCAACAGGATTTCTGCTAGACCGGCTAGAAGTTTGGCGCCTTGTCTAAATGATTTACAATAGGGATTGTAAACAATTACAAGTCACAAGAAGAGAAATGGCTGCCAGGAAAAAATGTCTTACATTTGAGGTGAAGGTTTTGTGCCTAAAAAAAATATACTGGAAAAAATTTTTTATGTGTTTTTAAGATAGGGTCTCCCTGTAGCCCCAGCTAGCCTGGAATTCACCATGTAGACCAGGCTGGCCTTGAACTCACAGAGATCCGCTTGCCTCTGCCTCCAAAACACCCTGAAAAATGTTAACATGGGTTCAGTGAGGTGTAACTTCTGTAGCATAATGTTCACCCATTGCCAGGACGTAGCTCTACGTTTTAGCCAGTTACTTGTTTCTAAGCATTTTATTTAGTTTTATGTGTGTGAGTGCTTTGCCTGCATGTATGTAAATGCACCCTTGTGCACAATGCCCCAAGGAGATCAGAAGAGGGCATTGGATCCCCTGGAGTTACACTCTGCCATGTGCATTCTGAGAACTGAACCCAAGATCTCTTTAAGAGCAACCAGTCCTCTTGACTGCTGAGCCATCTCTCCAGCACCCTTTCCCCCTTCTTTTGAGACATGGTCTCACTATGTAGATGGCTAGCCTAGAACACACCATGTACACCAGGCTGACCACTAACTCACAGAGATACACCTGTCTCTACTTCTATCTTAGTGCTAGGATTTTAAAGGCATGCACCACCACACCCAGCTTCATTTTAACCAGTTTAAATAGTTGTGTGATCATCTCCACTGTTACAGAATATTTCCAACCCTGAAAATTTCCTTTCTTCTCAGTTGGTCTGCTCTCATCCCTGGCCCCAAAGAAGCCCTGATCTGCCTTTTAGAAATTTCATGTAAATCAGCTGCATAGTAGTTTTGAATGGCTTTTTTACTCTTGCAGTTGAATCCATCTCTTACCATCAGCCATTGATCCTTTTTTGTTGGTTTTTGTGTTGAGACAGGGTCTCATGCAGCCCAGGTTTGCCTCAAACTTGCTAAGTAGCTGAGGATGACCTTGAACTCCTGATCCTCCTGCTTCCACTTCTTGAGAGCTGGATTATGGGTCTGAATGGTTGTTCCTTCTTACTGCTTAGTAGTCCAATGATGGATGGGCCACATTTTGCATATTCGCTCTCCAGGCAATGGGCATTTGGGCTGTGTCCAGTTTGGGCCCTTAGGAATAAGACCACTTTGAACACTGACTAGCAGTTCTTTGTGCGAACATGTGTTTGCATTTCTTTTCAACTGTTTTCACTTCCAGTTGTTAGCATTGCCATGAAGTGTTAGTAAAGCTGGAGAGTGGAGAAAAAAACATGTGTCTCATCAGCCCATCGCTACTCAGCCCCTCCTGTCTGCCAGCCTGTGGCAGGCTCAGGAGACCCAAGGTCAACCTAAGCCCTTGATGTGAGTTGCCTGCTCCCCAGGAGCCTCAGGCTGCGGGGATATCTTTAGGCCATTTGACCACTACAAACCACATTTTTGCAGGATGGCCACTTTAAGGTGAAAGAAAAAGTTTGATGGTCTGCCTTAAAGAAAAAGTTTGTCTTTCTCCTAAGAATAAAGTGTCTGCAACTGTGCGTAAGCATACACGTTCTTTTATGGTTTCTCTGTCATTGAAAGGTTTATTTTCCTTGGCTAAAATTTCAGAAACTGCGTAATCAGCAATATCTGATTGTAATAAGGCACCTTGGATCAGATTTCAGGTTAGGCAGCATGGATTTCCCCCACTGGCCTCATAAACCAATCACTTGCTAACAGCAGGGAGAGTCCCAGTGCCTCCTAATGACGGGTGTCCTTTTGGAATGTGTTCCCATTACGCACGGGGCAGATGGAGAGAGGCAGCCTTGCCCTGCCAATACGGAAACACCCTGCCCACCGCAGCCACTGTTCCTTTCTGAATGCCAAGTGGTTTTACTTTATATAT